CCTGACGCCACACTCTTCCTATTCAATGGGGGAGAGGACAAAGGAGGATGGCTCAGGAGGGAAGAGGAAATGCGCGGAGGAGGAGGAAGAGGAGGAGGAGGAGAAGAGGAGGGGGAGGGGGGAGATGAGGAGAAGATGAGGAAGAGAGGAGGAGGAGAAGGAGGAGGAGGGGGACCAGGAGGAAGAAAAAGAGAAGGGAGGAGGAAGAGGAGGCGTAAGGAGTGAGGAATGAGCCGTGAGAAACGAGGAGGAGTAGGAGGAGTATGAAGTCCGTCCGCCGTCCGCTGGTTGGAAGCCCTCGGGGCCGGTTTGGAAGCCCTCAGGGAGCTTCTCAGGAGGAGGAGGAGGAGGAGGAGGAGCATGAGAGGGCAGGAGGAGAAGGAGTGTGAAGTCTGTCCGCCGTCCGCTGTTCTCCGTAGGAGGCCCGAGGAGGACGGAGGACGGCGGACGGCGGACGGACTCATCAGTGCTCTTCGCCCCTCGCTCCTCACTTCTCAACCCTCAATCCTTACTCCTCCGTTTACTCCCCCTCCTCCTCCTCCTCCTCCTCTTCCTCCTCCTCCTCCAGCCCTCTCGGGCTTCTCTACTGTTCTATGGCTCTTCGGACATCCTGCTCCGCTCCGTCTGAATTCAGGTGTTTTACTGGCTTACGTTGTTCGCAGCAACAAGCTCGTTCTTCATGTCTGGCCAACGTCAAAAAAGAAGGAGGAATAGGAGGAGGAGGAGGAGGAGGAGGAAGAGGAGGAGGAATAGGAGGAGGAAGAACGGAAGGAAGAGGAGGAGAAGGAGGAGGAGGAGGAGGAGGAGAAGGAGGAGGAGGAGGAGAAGGAGAAGGAGGAGAAGGAGGAGGGAAGAGGAGGAGGAGGAGGGAAAAGGAGGAGGAGGCAGGCAGGCAGGCAGGCAGACAGACAGGCAGGCATGCAGGCAGGCAGGCAGGCAGGCAGGCAGGAAGGCAGGAGGAGGAGGAGGAGGAGGAGGAGGAGGAGGAGGAGGAGGAGGAGGAGGGGGGGGGAGAGAGGGGAGGAGGAGGAGCGACACTGACCCCGCCCTGCCCCGGCGCACCTTCTCGGGGCGCTCCGGCTTCTGGCCCCTCTCCACCCGCTCGCGCCTCTCCGCGCACCGCGGGCGCCAGTGAGCGGGCGCAGGCCCCGCGCGTCCCTCCGCTGAGGAGGCGGCTCGATCGACAAGCGATCGAGGATCGATCGAGGATCGAGGATCGAGGATCGAGGATCGAGGACCGAGGACCGAGGACCGAGGATCGACCGAGAGTCAGGGCTTCGGGGTCTCAATGGGGGTTATTGGGAGACTCTGAGGGCTTCTGGGGGCCTCCAGCGGCGACCTCTGGAGGCATCCGAAGGCTCTCAGGAGGCTCCAGAGACCCAGGCCTGTGGCGAGCCACACAGCAGTTCTTGGAGAAGCAGTTCGCCTCCTCCTCCTCCTCATCCTCCTCCTCCTCCTCCTCCTCCTCTCCTCCTCCTCCTGCTCCCCCTCCTCCTCCTCCTCCTCCTCCTCCTCCTCCTCCTCCTCCTCCTCTCCTCCTCCTCCTCCTCCTCCTCCTCCTCCTCCTCCTCCCTCCTCCTCCTCTCCTCCTCCTCCTCCTCCTCCTCCTCCTCCTCCCTCCTCCTCCTCCTCCTCCTCCTCCTCCTCCTCCTCCTCCTCCTCCTCGTCGGGTCTCCTTCGATGGGCACCCCACCCCAATTTTCCTTTCTCCCCCCCCCTGGACTTCCTTCTATGGGCGTCGAACCTCCTCCTCCTCCTCCCCTCCTCCTCCTCCTCCTCCTACTCCTCCTCTCCTCCTCCTCCTCCTCCTCCTCCTCCTCCCCTCCTCTCTCCTCCTCCTCCTCCTCCTCCTCCTCCTCCTCCTCCTCCTCCTCCTCCTCCTCTCCTCCTCCTCCTCCTCCTCCTCCTCCTCCTCCTCCTCCTCCTCCTCCTCCTCCTCCTCTTCCTCTTTCTCCTCTTCCTCTTCCTCTTCCTCCTCCTCCTACTCCTCCTCCTTCTCCTCCTCCTGCTGCTGCCACGTCCTGTCTGCCCGATTTCCGCTGATCGGCCCTCCCTCAGTCGCAGCAGTTTAATGACTCATTGCTGCCACCACATGAATTTGCCCCGAACGAATTCCACGTACGCCACTGCCCCAGGGCCTCTACCTCAAGCGTGGCGCTCCTGTGTGCCGCCTTGGGATCACGCGGCTTGGGGAAAGGAGAAGACAGCGATGCCCGCATCGATCTTTACTGCGGCGATTGCGTTCCGAAGTACTCTGAGTATGCGACATGTGTTGCGTCTGTGGGATAGTGTGCAGCAAAAGCAGCAAGAACCCACTAATACAGATGATGCCGCGAAAGCAGACAATCGTGCCCGCGTGGCGCATGCAGACCACTCGCGCGTCGAGGCCCTCATGTCGAGGGCTCTATGGCGGAGTCAGCTGAGATCGAGCCAGGAAAATCGGCCCCTCTGTGAACATGCTGTCGAAAGGAACCCTTGAACTGAAATCGAGCTTGGATAGGATAGTGAGTCTCGCATCGGGCCCAAACACAATAGTGAGTCTCACCTCTGGATATGGGAGAGCTGGAATCGAGCAAGAACAACATAGTCAGCCTCCGTTCTTGCCCAAATCGGGCCAGAACATGAGAGCGAGTCTCGTTTCTGGATTTGCGAGGGCTGAAATCGAGCCAGACACCGTATTGATTCACTGCTGGACCAAGTCGAGCCAGAACGCCACAGTGCGTCCCTCTTCTGGACCGAATCGACTCCATTCTGGGCCGCTCTAGGCCGCCGCTGGGCCTTGAAGACGCCTCTCCCCGGGACCCCCCTGCGGAGATTCTGGTGAGAGGACACTGCTGATCATTATCAGACCCACTTAGAAAAACGCTAGTGAGGAAAAGGAGGCAGGAGGAGGCCGACGACGAAGAGGGAGGAGGAAGATGCGGAATGCGGAGGAGGCGGAGGGGAAGGAAAGAGGGCGGGGAGGGAGGGGAGAGGGAGGGAGCTCGGATGGAGGTCGGAGGGAGCAGGGAGAATTGGTGAGCGGATCGGCCTCAGCACAAAAGAGGGTGTCCCGCAAGGGTCGGCATTCCTCCCCTCCCCTCCCCGTTTTCCCCCAACCCTCCTCTCCCCCCCATCCTCTTCCTCGTCACCCTCCCACCCCCTCTCATCCGTGCCCCCCCGTTCGTGCCCCCTCATCCGTGCCCCCCCTCTTGTCTACCCCAACCTCATCCCTCCGCTCCTCCTCCTCCTCCTCCTCCTCCTCCTCCTCCTCCTCCTCCTCCTCCTCCTCCTCCTCATCCTCCTTCTCCTCCTCCTCCTCGCCCCGCCGTTCGCCCATCCAACCTCCTCCACAATTAGACATCATGAGTACTGATTCCCCCACCTCCCCCCTGACAGTCTCCAGTCAGGCTCCCGCCACTCCCGCGCATTGCCACACACACACACACACACACACAGGACCGCACAAGTTGATAATGCATCAACTGGTTTGCCATCGGAACGTCTTTGGTACTTCAAAAGTGGTCTTCCCACCGCAACGCTGGCTTTATTTCAGCATCGGTGTTTTGCTTCCGCTCCTCCCCCAGCGCTCACGCCCCAGCGCGGGCCGCACGTCTGAATCCGATTCCTTTCGCGGCGTTCCCGCGCCCTTCTGTCCCCTCCGCCCCTCCCGGTGCTCCTCCCGTTCCTCCTGCTCAGGCTCGGGCTGGAAGGTCGGGCTCCTCCTGCTGCTCCTCCTCGTCCAACTTGCTCCTCTCCACCGCACGGAAGGCCCCCTCGCCGACGGTGCAGCAAACGATTGCGTCATGTCTCGCGACTGGCATCTGAGGATCACGGTTCTCACGCTGGATAGAAGAGGATCCAACGCAGTGGCAAGGGATGAAAGGGATGGGGTAGGAGGTCAGGAGGTCAGATGCGGCGCGAACGCACCTAGCCTGTCCCCTTCCCACCCCCCTCATCTCTCTTCACCTCTTCCAGCGCATCTGCCAGGTAGAGGGGGGAAGGAAAGCCGAGGAGACGCGAACGGCCAATGATCAGCGTCGTGCCACCTGTCTCGTCGCGGTGCGAAGTCGAGACTGCGATGCATGCGGGAAATCAGCGGCCAGAAACAGAATCGCGCTTCTCGGGGCGCGCCACACTGATTTTGACGCCCATCTCGCAAGCCTCCCGCCCCCCCCCCCCATATCATACATCCTTACTTCTCGTCCCATTCCTCTTCCCTCCATCTCACCTTCTCCCTCTCTAACTCCTCTCCTCCCCCTGTACCTCACCACCCACACCACCCGCCTCACCCTGTCCCCGTGTCCATCTGCCCTCTCAACTCTCCACGTCCCCTCTCTCCTCGTCCCCCTGGCCCCATCCCTTCGTCCAACACTCACCTATATTCTCCCGCCTTCTACCCTGTCTCCCTTCAGTCCTCCATTACGTATCCGCTCTCCCTTGCATTCTACATCATCTCACCTCCTCCCAATCCGCTTCGGCGGCCTATCGGGCTTCTCGGGCACCTGGGCCACCTCGGTATTCTCCGCCGCACTCCTCTCCTTGGAACAGCAGGAGCAGGACGACGACGATGACGAAGCTGACGAAGACGACGACGACGACGACGACGACGACGACGACGACGACGGCGACGACGACGATGATTAGGAGGGGAGGGAGGACGACGATAACGACGAGCAGGGGAAGGAGGACGACCAGGAGGACGAGGAAGACGAGAATGGAAGTGGCGAGGAGGGCCGGCAGGGCAAGGACGCTGGGGAAGCAAGAAGAGGGGGAGGGCGAGCGCGAGGCGGAGGGCACGCTCCTTCTTCACCCGCAGCGGCGGTCGCTCCTCGGCCGCATCCCACGATTTGTCCCAGTCCCACCTGCCGGGGGAGGGGCATGGGGGGCAGCGGGAGGGCAGAGGGGAGGCGGGCACGGAGGGGAGGGGGGGGGAGCGATGGGAGGGGAGGGGGGGAGGGGGAGGGGGAGCAAGGGAGGGGAGGGGAGGGGAGGGGAGGGGAGGGAGGGGAGGGAAGGGAGGAGAGGGGAGGGAGGCAAGCTAGGTGCGCTCGCGTCATACCTGACCTCCTAACCCTCCCTCCCATCAGCTTACCACTGCGTAGAGCCCCTCCCTATTCGCATAGCCAGGCGTCGAAACACCGCAGATAGTATGACATAGCATGGCGTAGGAGGCCACGGCAGAGCCTAGCATGGCGTACCATGGTGTGGCATTGCGAAGGAGTCAGGGCGGGAAGACGTGAGCGAATGCCGATCCAACAGTACTGCCAGCGCTGCAGCGAGAGCTCCATTCCACGGGACGGAGGCACCATGGCAACTGAGAGATGAGACCAAGGTTGTGGCGGGAGTTCCGTTTCAGTGAGGCACCAACACGAGGGGACCAGGGCTGCGAGGCGCAAGCCACGTGCTGATGCAAGAGCACGGCCTGCGCGGCGTGGACAGCGCCTGCCCTTCGAACGAAGGTCCCAGGGCAAGTCAGGGATGCGGCTTCGGAAATGAGGCCAACGCTGGAGCCGAAGCACAATTGTGTCAAGAACCGGCACTTCAGACAAAAAGCCCACGCTGTAGACGAAACGCTATGGTCAAGGAAAGGTATTTTGGATATGAAGCCAGCGCTGTAGCGGGAGCAGAATTGACTGAAAACTCGGAAATGATGCCAGCGATGCAGCGGGAGTGTCTTTGAGAAACAGAAGAACGCAGAAATAAGGCCAGAGTCGCAGCCGGAGCACGACGCTTCATCACCGACAACCCAGAATGAGGCCAACCCTACAGCCAGAGGACCAAGAACGCGGAAATAGAGCCAATGCTGACGCGGGAGCACCATTCTGCAGAAACGGGAACCTGGAAGTGAACCCAAAGCTGCCGAGGGAGCACCGTTCTGGAAGGACGGGAAACGCTCGGACTGGAGAAAAAGACGTGTAAGAAGTAACTTGTGTGGGAATCATGTGTAAACAAGTACACGGAAAGGGCGGGATACCCTCAACCCGTCTTCGGCGGTGAGGGGGGGAAGGGATGGGCGGGGAGAGGACGGAAGGGGAAGGGAGAGTGATGGTGGGACGGGGAAGACGGGCGGAGGGCAGCAAGAGGAGGACGGGGGGCGAAGGGGGCAGCAAGAGCCGGACTGGTAGGATATGACATGAGTGAGATAGGGAGATCTGGATATACATCTACGAGCACCAGCATCAGCAGATTCACCATGAGAAGGCTCATCACCTTCACACTCATCATCACCAGCTGCTGCATCGTTGTCATCATCTGCAGCATCACCGCTACCGTCGTCCTCCGCCACCACGTCGTCGTCATCGTCGTCATCACCACCACCACCGCAACCATCATCACCGTCATCATCATCATCATCATCATCATCATCAGCTGCTGCAGCAAGAGCATCGTCATCATCATCACCACCACCATCATCATCAGCAGCATCATCATCATCATCACCACCATCAAGCATCACCACCACCACCATCAACATCATCGTCACCATCAGCAGCAGCAGCAGATCGCAATTGCACCCAACTTGAATGGTCGACCCCAAGGGAACTCCTGATGGGGGGCCGCCAAAATGTGGTCGAGTGTCTCCTGACCTGCGTTTCTGCCGCGCCAGGTTGAGAAGTCTACTGCCCGCCATCGACGAGCTTCCCCAGGACCTGGATAATGAGGGCGTCCACGTGTTCACTGAACGTGACGCCGTCGCTAGTCGCCACGTCGCTCGCCATGAAAGCGACGAGCTGATCGTTCGAAAGCACGGTGCTCGGGGGCGTGACGGTCAGCTGACCACCGAGGGAAAACAGGTCGCTTGCCTTCGAACCAACAAAGACCTTCGTCCCGAAGCTCAGGGCAAGGACATCCTGGCTGACCTCCGGCTTGGCCTCCTGGCCCGCGTGCTTCTCGAGAAGCTGGGAGGGAGGCAAGCCAGGCCCTCTTCGTGACCTCCTGACTCTCGGTAGACTTCTGGCCCAGGGTGAAACCCATCTTGGTGAGCAGGTGGCCACGCACCTGTTTCACAAAGCTGCAGCACTGCTTCTTCGTGGCGGAGCAAGCGATCTGGACATATTGGAGGTTGGCTTTCACCAACCAGTCTTAGAACTCCCTGAAATCATGCGGGGTTGGGGCCGCCTGCGTCTCGGAAGCATCTCGCCCAACTCTGGCTTCGAGACGGGGCCAGCGGTGAGTTCTTTCTTCTCCAGCTGCTGCTTCAAACTGAGCTTGATTGGGGACTTGTTTCTCCACTCCCTGGGCTTTCGAGGGCCGTGTCCACACCCGTGCTGCCCGTGTTCTCGCTGACCTGAACCGACTTCCAACCCATCCGCTCGCTGATCTCGTCCTTGCGGCCCACCAAGAGGGTGGTGAGGGAGAAGGAGGAGGAGGAGGAGGAGGAGGAGGAGGAGGAGGAGGAGGAGGAGGGAGGAGGAGGAGGAGGAGGGAGGGAGGGACGGAGGGAGGGAGGGAGGAGGCAGGAAGGGGGGAGGAGGAGAGGGAGGAGGAGGAGGAGGAGGGAGGAGAGAGAGGGAGGATGAGGATGAGATGAGGATGAGGATGAGGATGATGAGGATGAGGATGAGGATGAGGATGAGGATGAGGATGAGGATGAGGATGAGGATGAGGATGAGGATGAGGATGGGGACGAGGATGAGGATGAGGATGAGGATGAGGATGAGGATGAGGATGAGGATGAGATGATGAGGACGAGGATGAGGAGGATGAGGATGAGGATGAGAATGAGGATGAGGATGAGGATGATGAGGAGGATGAGAGGATGCGGAGGGAGGGAGGGAGGAGGAAGGGAGGGAGGGAGGGAGGGGGGGAGGAGGGGGAGGAGGAGGAGGAGGAGAGGAGAAGGAGGAGGAAGAGAAGGAGGAGGCGGAGGAGGAGGAGGAGGAGGGAGGAGGGGAGGGAGGGAGGAGGGAGGGAGAGAGGGAGGGAGGGAGGGAGGGAGGGGAGGGAGGGAGGGGGGGAGGGGAGGAGGAGGAGGAGGAGGAGGAGGAGGAGGACGAGGGCGGAGAAGGAGGAGGAGAAGGAGGAGGAGGAGGAGGAGGGAGGGAGGGAGAGGAGGAAGAGGAGGAGGCGGAGGAGGAGGAGGAGGAGGAGGAGGAGGAGGGAGGAGGCGGCGGCGGGGCAGACTCTGGTGATCCACGGGGGAAAGCCTTTCGACAGCATGCCGGTGGCCAGCTCACTGCTCTACGTTCTCTGGGAAGGTAGAAGATCAAGTTGTCGTACCCAAAGGTTTCTGTTGTCGTGGAGGGCCCAATAGAACGTTCAGCGAACGGACCGTCACGCCAAAAGAAATAATTTCCAAGTGCTGCTTCCAGTCGACTGCATCAGAAGCCACAGAAATCCATGCCGAACCACGCTTATAGAAGAAATTGTATGTCTCCGTTTCCCAACGCCACGGGCGAAAACCCTTTGGATGCCCCTGCCAGCCACCATCGGCCCCAGCAAATTGGTGCAGCGACGAGATACTCTTCCAACACAAAACGTTCAAAGGTATGCGATCCGGTTCCTGTAGCCCTTGGCGTACCAATTTCCCAGCCCATTCGCACTGCTGCTTTCTCCAAGTTTGCACCCACGATTCCACGCTGTACTGTTGCATGGCTCGTGTAACCAGGCCTTCACAGCGATGCATGTACTGGTCCACGGTTTCCTGCTGCGCACCATTTTACGCTGCACCCCAGATATGGCCCTCTCCTGATGCACGTTCAGAATCCAAGCGCCCGCCCGCCATAGGAGCGCGAGCTTGACGGTCATGTCCAGCAGGTGCAACTTCTTCTTGAGGGACCCCGACTTGTGCACAAGTAAAGCCCTGCACTTGAAGTAACACCCCCACGCTTTAGAGATCCTGTTGTCGAACTCCTTCTCGAACGAGTTGTCGACAGTGACGATGGCCCCTAGGGTTTTGAAACCTTCGCTCCGGGCTGCTCGCCTGATGTCGCGGCCATTGACGGTCAGCGCCATCGGGATGCCATCTGAAGCCGTTGTACACCAAGAACACTCCTCCAGAGGGACTGACCATCCAGACCGGCATAGTCTGCCCAAGAACGACTGCACCATATCCTGTAGCATTTTGAGCGATGTTCCGAGGATCCAAAACTTGTCTGCTAAACACAAGATGCCATAGAAAGCCCCTCCAACTTTGACGCCCCATTTGTTTTCCGCGCACTCCGCCTGAAACTCTGCCAAGTCAACGTCGAAGATCAAATTGAAGACTTTCGGGGCGTCTGGCCCCCCCTGGCACAAGGACTGGGTGCGCCCGACGTCCTTGCTGCAGACATCCCCTGCACAGACCTTGGATTTCAACTTGCGGGCCTCCCTGAAGATAGCTGCAACAGTAATATTTTGAAAGCCCTTCCGGACCAGACGCTGCGCGCCGAGGAGATGGTTCACCGTATCGTACGCCTTGAAGAGGTCCCCGTCGAAGATGATCAAGGGCGGCACCACGTCCTGCCACTCGACATGTTTCTCGATCAAGTTCCGGAGCGTGAAAATCACATCCAACGCCTGCCTGTGTGGACGGAACGCAAACTGAACCTCGCTCAGATTCTCCAGGTGTTTGTTCTCCAGCTCCAGAATGCACGCCAAGTACACTTTCATCAAGACCGGGATGATAGTAATAGGCCGGAGTTTGGAAGGGTGGGTGGGTTCATCCTTCTTCAGAATACACTGCACCACGACGCGTTCCCATGATGTCTCGTCGGCCTCGGATACGTGGTTCAGCAGCCGGAGCCTAAAGACATCCGCCAACACCTCGAACGTGTCCTCGTCGAGGCACGCGATCATCTCGATGACCACCAGGTCTTCTGCGCACGTCCTGTTCAACTTGAATCGATACACAACTCTGCGCACGAGGCTGCCGTCAAGAGGCCGAAAACAAGACAAGGCGTCCGTGTGCCACGACTGCGACAACCAAGGAGGCATATCTTCTTTGAGCGAGCGCTCGTTGTTGTAAAGATTGTGAAAATACGTTATTAACCAATGCCCCTTTGCCTCGTCGCTGAATGCCATGTCGGACGTACCAGGTCCCCAAAAGAACGGCACCACCGTCTTCTGAAATGGCTTGGCCGGGCGAGCTGCTTGGATAGCCTCGGCCATCTTCACATCGAATTGTAGTCTTGCTATGCGCCTCCTCTGCTTGACCACCATGTTTGCCACGAGTGCGCGGGATACTGGCTCAGATTCCATCCTCCGCCGCCGTTGAAGCTCATGGAGTGCGCACTTCGCCTGCTGGATGGCCTCGGCGTCGCGGCAGCCATGCCGAGGCGCACGACCGTGGACGCGAGCCTCGGAGGAGACTGCCTGGGTGAACTCGGCGATGGTGGGGACAACGTTCACGAAGCCAACAGATCTCACCTCCGTCAAATTGGTGGCGCCATCGCCAGCGAGCTTCTCGAAGTTCGTCGCCGCCCCCATGCGTGATCTAAATTCTGTCGCTCCCCAGTCGGCAAGCCGGTATGGGCGACGCCACCAGGACGCGATGTTGTCGCGATTCCCTGCGAAAGCTGCCAGCCTGTCTGCCTCCTCGTTCCTGGCGATGCCAGTGTGCGACTTCACCTTAAGAAGCCTCACATCAAATACACGCGATAATCTGTTCCACAAGTGCTCCATGAGAGACATGAGTTCAACATGTTCCTTCGCATGGAACTTACCCGTCAAAATCCCGACAACGTACAAAGAGTCCACCTTGAACACGATCGTCCCGACATTCTCCATGAAATGGTAATTGCCTGGGTTCGCCGAGTCACGAGTGGAAAGGAGGAACAGACACGCCTCGACCATCGCAGAGCATTCACCAGTATTGCTGGAATAACGCCTGGCTCCCACAAAATACTCCCCCTCAGCGTCGGTGACGACCAAACCACATGCAGACAACAATGGCTCACATATCCCATTCGTGTCCCCAAGCCCTTTCACAGTGAAACCCCAAGATGCGAAAGATGCCCTTTTCCGTTTAAACTGGCAGTGCCCGTCGGTGAAGACGTGCACGGCATTGTCCTCGAACTCCTTGGTGGTCTCCGGCTCCATCGTCAAGACTCCTGGGATGTTGAGGCGATCTTTAACGGCAAGTGCGAACCCGAAATCTTCAAGTTTCCATCCTACTGGTTTGGGGGGTGGCCGGCCTCCTCGCTGCTGCCGCTTCCGGGAATCCACAGCCGCCCCAATACCCCAGACGAGGCTCCGATGATCCGTCGTGGTTGCATCAATCTCTGTAGGGTGGCACCTGCTCCGGCCTGCGATCTGCCTGGACACGAAGACAAAATCGATTTGCCGAGGCTCCGATTTCAAATGGTAGTGACAAGTGTACGTGTCGGACCGGTTTGCCTGATTGTACGTGTTCACCGCCACCATGTCGTGCTCAAGCAGAAAGTTAAGAACAATCCGGCCCTTGGAGCCTGCGTGTAACTCAGCATAGGGTCCAACAATATCTCCGTAAGCGCGCTGGCCATCTTCCATGACTCCCAATCTATCCTGAACGTCAGCACCTATCAATAAATGACCTCCCTCAGGTAACCCATCGCACAACGCGGACATGCCATCAACGCTCTCCCTGTACGGCTGGAGGTCGCTGTGTGGGTAAAGATGGGCACAAATACACCGCATGTACAAATCAGGTAATCGAAAGTCGAGCCCAATAGCGCGACCCCTGTGCACGAACGAATTCGGGACGACGTGCTGGAGCATCGAAGTGTGAACCACGACTGCCATCCTCCTCTGGCCCGGCATGGAGCTTGAGGAAAATATCCAATGCCCATCGTCAGAGAACTGCTTAAGAGCCCCCTTGTAGCTAGTAAGTTCTTGAAGTCAGAGGACGTGCCACAAAACATCCCTGGACATAGTACGAGGAGGAGGAGGAGGAGGAGGAGGAGGAGGAGGAGAAGGAGGAGGAGGGAGGAGGAGGAGGAGGAGGAGGAAGAAGAGGAGGAGGAGGAGGAGGAGGAAGAGGGCGGGGGCGGGGAGCCGCTGGGGCGGCCGCAGCCGCTGGTGCGAGCGAGGCGCGCCGAGGCCGAGAAGCCGCGGCCTCTCGCCCACCGCCGCCCGGCCCGCCGAGGGGCCCCAGTGGGGCGAGCTTGGGCCCCCGCCGACTCGAAGCCTCGCTCCTCGGGCTGCGAGGCCCTCGATCCTCAAAGCTCGGTCTCCTCGATCCTCGAGCCCCGATCCTCGAGCCACGATCCTCGAACACCGAACAGCAATGCCCTCGGTCCTCGAACCTTCCGGCAGGGAGGCCGCCGGGGCCACCAAGGACGCCAGCGGGGCGGCCGGGGCAGCCCGCTGGGCGGGCGCCCGGGGCGCGGCGGAGGCGTGTCCGAAGGAGTCGTTCTAAGGTACGTCTGGCCCGAGGCCGCCTGCGGCGCCAGTGGAGTCGCTGGAACGGCCGCTGGGGCCGCAGCCAATGCCGCCGGCAAGGACACGCGGGGCGCTGGAGGCGCCGACGGGGCCGCGGCCGGCGCCCCTTCAGGTCCCAGCCAGGCCCGCGCAACTGATCACAGAGGGGCGCGACCGCGATCGGGGGGTCTACTCCACGAACCTGATGAGTTGACAGCACTGGTTCGTGTGGCAATCCTGGCCCACACTGCGAGCGCAGCCTGGAGGACAGCAGCGCTCGCCCTCCAGGGAGTCGGGTATCATCAGAAGCGACACTATGACGCTCAGAATGATGAGGGAGAGGCGGAGCGGGAAAGAGACGAATGTCGGCGCCGTCCGCCACTGGCAGAATACTCGGATTTATCTGTTTTAGAATGTTTGACTGTTGGTGGTTCAAGAACGTGGCTCGCGGCGACTATCCAGAACCCACTAGGGCCTGCACGTAGCATCACTGGAGAAAAGCGGGAGGGATGAACGCGAGGAAAAAGGAGAGGAGTCTAAGGAAAGCTGACGGAGCTGAAGGGGGGGGGCTCGGTCGGCAGGCAAACCCCGGAATTGTTCCAGGCGAAACCTGGAATTCCCACGGAGGCGAAACCGAAACCTCGAATCCATTCCGGCAAAACCCAGCATTGGGAGCCCAAACCCAGAATCCCTGGCAAGCCCAACGAGAAACTCTGCAGGACACCAAACCGAAAATTTCCCACGCCCAGAACTGGAATTCCAAGAGAGCCGCGAGGCCTCGACGACGTTTACGTGACACCCCACTCCGCTGGACCTCCCAGGAGCCCACGAGAGCGCCCACAATCGCGCAGTTCGCAGC